CAGTCTATAGTCCAGTCTATAGTCAGTCTATAGTCTAGTCTATAGTCTAGTCTATAGTCTAGTCTATAGTCTAGTCTATAGTCTAGTCTATAGTCTAGTCTATAGTCTAGTCTATAGTCTAGTCTATAGTCTAGTCTATAGTCTAGTCTATAGTCTAGTCTATAGTCTAGTCTATAGTCTAGTCTATAGTCTAGTCTATAGTCTAGTCTATAGTCTAGTCTATAGTCTAGTCTATAGTGCAGTCTATAGTCCAGTCTATAGTCCAGTCTATAGTCCAGTCTATAGTCCAGTCTATAGTCCAGTCTATAGTCCAGTCTATAGTCCAGTCTATAGTCCAGTCCACAGTCTAGTCTATAGTCTAGTCTATAGTCTAGTCTATAGTCTAGTCTATAGTCTAGTCTATAGTCTAGTCTATAGTCTAGTCTATAGTCTAGTCTATAGTCTTGTTTATAGTCTAGTCTATAGTCTAGTCTATAGTCCAGTCTATAGTCTAGTATATAGTCTAGTCTATAGTCTAGTCTATAGTCTAGTTTATAGTCTAGTCTATAGTCTAGTCTATAGTCTAGTCTATAGTCTAGTCTATAGTCTAGTCTATAGTCTAGTCTATAGTCTAGTCTATAGTCTAGTCTATAGTCTAGTCTATAGTCTAGTCTATAGTCTAGTCTGTAGTCTAGTCTATAGTCTAGTCTATAGTCTAGTCTATAGTCTAGTCTATAGTCTAGTCTATAGTCTAGTCTATAGTCTAGTCTATAGTCTAGTCTGTAGTCTAGTCTATAGTCTAGTCTATAGTCTAGTCTAGTCTATAGTCTAGTCTATAGTCTAGTCTATAGTCTAGTCTATAGTCTAGTCTATAGTCTAGTCTATAGTCTAGTCTATAGTCTAGTCTATAGTCTAGTCTATAGTCTAGTCTATAGTCTAGTCTATAGTCTAGTCTATAGTCTAGTCTATAGTCTAGTCTATAGTCTAGTCTATAGTCTAGTCTATAGTCTAGTCTATAGTCTAGTCTATAGTCTAGTCTATAGTCTAGTCTAGTCTATAGTCTATAGTCTAGTCTATAGTCTAGTCTATAGTCTAGTCTATAGTCTAGTCTAAAATTTTAACGATGTTATTATATACATACATATGTATGTAAATGGTAAATAATTTCTTATAATTACTTTTAAGATGTTCAATGACTTTTAATTTAAAAAATCCAATAACACCCTGACAGAATGGTTTTCTAATAAATTTTATTTATTTTCATTTCTCATCGCAAACATAAACAATAGTGCTAATACAAGTCTGCCTACATTTAATTTCCCCTTTTTAGCTGAGTATTAATTTTCTCCTTATTCTTATTTACATAAATTTTTTTAAAAAATTCCCACTCACCAACCGTAATTTCTCCTTTTAGTCCATCACTTCACTTTTCTCCTTTTTATTTATTTTTTTTAACCCGCTTTAACCGTTTATCTTACATCTAACGAAGTAACGAACGTATAACCGCACAAAAATAAAAAAGAAAACGATTAACAATCGCCATTTAATTTTTTACAACTTTAATACCATTTTTAATACAATTTTAATGAATATTTTGCAGACATTTTTGCACAAAACTATTAAGAAACACTTAAATTATACTTATTAACACAAATATTTAAAATAAATTAACTTTTACTTTAATAAAATACAATTTACGAGGACACTACACCAAAGCGACCGAACCGTGTGATAAATGAATAGAAACTGAAGAATTTATGCAATCAGAAAGGAGTAAGAAAAAGTAGGAGAAAGATGGCAACTAAGCTTTTGTAGATAAATTAGCGTGTAAGTTAATTCTAAGGAGCAGGCGCTTTTAATTTGTTGTTTTTACTTTAGGTGCAAAGGAGAGGAAAAGGAAATTTTTTTATATTTGGTTAGAGGAAATAAGTTTAAAAGTAATAGAATTTGATACAGGGTTACCAAATTGGTAAAAAATTTTGTGGCACAATTCGTTCTTTAAAAGTGCATCAATTTTGCCAAATAGGGTATTCTATAGACTAGGCTATTCTCTAGCATTTTCTATAGTATATAGTTTTTTTCTTATCCTTGGACTAAATAGATTCACACCTAACCCATTACTATTAGCCACATTAATAGATCACTTAACGCCGCCTGCATGACTTTACTGATTTGGAGAAACTATCTTCCTACCTTTAGATTCAAAGACTCTGACACTAAAGTTTAACCAATAATAACACGTAGCGCATATAGCGCACACTCGACCGACTTACCCTTAAGGTAGGCATGTTGAGCATTGCTAAGAAGACGGTTATCAATATTGCCTAAAATCCCTAGGTTTCGCGAGGCATGCCTTTAGGAATAATGATTAACCTAACCTCTAGATGTCGCATGAAAATATCAGCTAAAATAACTGACTAGAATCCCCAGGTCTTTGGACCTCCTGTACTAAATTTCTATCATCTACGTCAGAGTTTCCTTAAGCAAGCAGAGTATCTGAGAGCTAGACTCCGTCCATGCAGTGTCTTCACGTTGAATATAACCTAGGGCCTTGGGCTAAATTGGAAGAATAGTAAAACAAGTTCTCGGTTTTTTTTTTTTTTTTGAAAAAATTTAAAATCGTTTTAAAGTTTTTATCCAATATTTTAATCAAAATCTTTACTGAATAAACATTTTGTTTAATTTTGTGTAAATAAATTGAAATATTATATTTCCAAATTGTTTTCAATTTAAAAAGAATTTACAAAAGAATTCTACAATTCCAAACATTCATAAATTCTAACCCGTTTTACTCTATATCCATGAAAAAATGAAACTCCTTTAGCTCATATACCTTTGCAATTTTTTTATTACAATCTTGTGTTTTGTTTTTGTTTATTTCAAACTTTTCAAACATCAAAAAACATACAAAAATAAGTGTGTGTGGTCATAAACAAAAAAGTGACAAAGGCATTCCTAAATACCCTTGAGGGACAAACTCCTGCACTAATTAACTATAGATACACGGCATCTATTTAGCTTGGGTGGTCTTCTTGGGCTTAGCTTGGGTGCCTTCGCGGAAACCATTACGGAAACGGCGTCTGACAACCTTCAAGTGACGCATGCGGCCGGTACCAGTGGTCTTCCTCCTCTTGGCCTTGATGGACCAGTTGTCTAGAAAAAAAAATATAAAAAAAACCAAATTATTAACTTCATCAAAACAAAAGACGGAAGAAATATTTGAAGAGTATAAAGTAAATGTACTAAAATCATACAAAATGGTTTCAAAGCATATTATGACCAAATAACCAATGAGTTGTAAACTTTAGGCGTTTTTCTATCTGCGTGCTTGGGTCACATAGCTATGGCTAAAAAGTCTATGGACCTCAAAAACACAGACATCTTGTTTATAATTATTTCTTTGTTGGCAACCAAAAAGCATTAATTAAAAATGAGGTTAGGTTTTGTTGTTTACATTTCTATGTGGAACAAAATACTTACAGGAACGCAATTTAGCTGCTGGGTAGCCACATTGAGCGCAGGTGGACTTTTGGATGTGGTAGGAAGAACGACCGCAACGACGGCACAAAGTGTGCGTCTTATTATGGCGTTTACCAAAGCTGGATGTACCTTTCGTCTGTGGAAATTTGATAAAAACGATAGATTAATATTTTATTTTCTCACATTTTTATATTTCTTTTAATTTTTAAATCTTTTTCGTTTTTAAACCAACACTTCATTTTTTATTATCACTTGCTATGTGTAAACACTAAAATTTTTCTCGTACATTTATTAACACATTTCGTTGGTTATTTTAAAAACACTTTCATTTTCGTAAAATTTCGCTTGTAATTTTTTGTTTTTCGTATTATTTTCATTATTTTTATTTGTGATGGTTTAGAAATTTAAAGATTTAAAAAATTTCACTAAAGTTAAAAAAAATTCCTACCATCTTGGATCGAAAGACCGCAAAAGAAAGAGAGAAAAAATGACAGCTCGAATTGCAGCCAACTTCACATGGTTGATTTTGACAACTGACATTTGAAGTAAATCAACTGCCGCTAACTTAATGGGAATTTGCGCACAACAATTGACATATAGAGGGAGCTGATATGTTTTATTTAATAAAATTTTAGTTATTTTTGAAATTATTGCTAAAAAGTAGAATTTTATGGAATTGGATGAATTAAAAAATACAGTAAAATAGAAGAATAAGTTTATAATAGAAATATGAGATGTTAATTATTAAATTTTATTGTTTCAAAGATTATTTCCAAAATTTGTAAACCAAAATAAATATTGCTGGGTAATATTAAATATTAAAAAAATGTAAAGGGTTGCAAATCAAAATAAATTGTTTAATATCAATGACCAAAGGAATACAACTTAATTTGCACCATAATTCAAAGTAAAAATAGGAATATTTAGTAAATATTAATTTTTCAAAAGTTTTCTATAAAACGGGAATTTTTCGAAAATTTTATATAAAAATTATAATTTTTTGTAAATTTTCTTTAAAAAAAGAGAAATTTTTTTTTAAAAATGTACAAAAAAACTTTAAGTATTATATATATATAAAAATGATAAATTTTCTACAAAAAGAGAGAAGTTTTCTGCAAAAAATATAAATTTTCAAAAAAGAGAATTTTTAAAAATTTTCTAAAAACTTCAATAATTTTTTTCTACAGAGGCAATTTTTCAAAAAGTTTTCCCAGACACGAAATTTTTAAAAAATTTGCTATAACTAGAAAAACTTTTAAAAAATTAGCTATAACTAGAAAAATTATCTGAATTTCCCAAAAACATTTTTTAATTTTTTTTTCATAAAATTTTTCGCAATTTTTCTTAAAAATTTTTGTAATATTAGAGAGAATGTTAATTTCGTATAGGTATTTTCTACAAAAGCATAATTTTTGGAGGAAATAATAACAATTCTCCATTTTATTTATTTGTATTTTAATTCCCCCACTGTTCTTTTTAAAAACGGCGTTACGACTTATTGCCGCCTTTGTTTATTTTTAAATTTCTCGGCGTTGCAAACTTTTATCAGCTTAGATTTTTGAATTAACAGTTAGTTTTTGCAATTATTTTTTTTTAGCCCGAAAAGAATTCCACAGTTCTTGTAAATTTCTTAAAAAAATATATATTAAATAAAAATATATATTCAGGAAATTATTATCCACTTTATCGTAATGGCAAAACCTGCAAGTGCTATTGGTTCGGAAACCGATTTATTGGTTTGTCCCTACAACGAATCCCATTTAATATTGCGCAAACGTTTTCAAGTGCATTTGATACGCTGCCGTCGATCTCATCCCAACGCACCTATGGTTGTTTGTCCATTCAATGTAACACATCGTGTTAATAAAGTGGAATTGGAGGTAGGTTTTAAGTTAATTTTTTTTTTAAATTAATCAAATAAACATTTTGCAGTGGCATGTTTCAACCTGTCCGGATCGCCAAAATTTTGAAAATTTTCGCCATCAAGATGCTCCGATCGTGGGATTGAGTTCAACCATTAATCTTACATTCTGTGGAAGTACTGCTGCGGGTAATGCCACTTCTCTGTTTAATAATACCTATAATACGGTAGCCACTACTAACAATATTAAGGGTGGTGAATATATTGAGTCTTCAGAATCTTGGGATGATTTACCCGAACATCCCAGCTATAATCCTAATGAATATATAGAGAAAGCGGAGGTACTACGTTTGCCTGTGGGTATGACTCCATCGGAACGTAAGGCTTTTCGGTTGGCCGAACGTAAACGTTTGCAATCTTTGATGAAATGAATTGCAAATGCTGGGCATCCACAAAAATATTTTTGTTTTATAAATGCATACTTGAATTAATATTAGTTTTAGAAATCTGTGTTCAATTTTAAGGATTCTTTGAGTTAATTTAAATTTTAATGAAATGATTTCATTTTTCTTAAATAAACAATATAAACAAATATTTTAAATGTTTTTTATTATACTCATAATATAACTATAATGGGTAATGGTTGTATCATGATTATAATTGTCTTCAAATTCAAAAATATGTAATTTCAGATATTATCTGTAAGAAGTTAAAATTTCTTCCAAAACAAATTCAAATATATGAAAAAACATACTCCATTATACATTGTGATGTCCTAGGTGAGTACCACGTAATGCATCTAGGCATTGCATCAGATTAATCCCAAAACTACTCCCTTTCTAAAATTATGGGAGTACATGATCCTATGTAATGCATGCTATGAACCATGTTATCAAAAAAAATAATCAAAAATTCATAACTGTATTACATAGAAGTACTAATCGGATTACTCTAATAATGTTTACAGGTGTGCAGATTTGGGATTATCCGAATGGATTATGTATTTCAATAATTTTTGCAAGGAATTTCTGAAAACTTGTACCCCCACCTAAGTATGTAAAGCGACATGGCCACACATCAAATTTGTTGACTCAAAAGGTAAGTTTTTTAATTGTGTCAGTGAAAAAACTCACATGTATATATTCGGTGTGAGTTTTTTTTACTAACCCAATCAAAAAACTTACCATTTGAGTCAACCAATTTGATTTGTTGCCAAGGCGCTTAAAAGTAAAAATTTTCTATCTTTTCTACAACACGCTATAATGGCAACGCTCTTTGTCTATGTTTACCAATTGATAAATATGGCAACTGTAGATGTAACCACTTCGCAGTGAATGTCAGTGTAGAAAAGAATTTAATAAAAAAAGAACGCATTGCAAAAACGAAAAAATTGCATTTTAATTCTAAAAGGAAGCAAATACTTAATAATAACAAAAAATAATAAAAAGAAAAAAGCTAATAGCAAAAAACAAAAACACTTATTGCTCTCAATAAACTTTTATTACTTTAATTTCTCAAATAAATAAAAAAAAAAAACTACGATGTTTCTCAGTGATGATGATATGGTCGAGTGTCCCTACAACAAGACGCATCGCATGTTGAGGAAACGCTTGCAATCTCATCTACTGAAATGTCGCCTTAGTTATCCCGATGTGGAATTACGAAAATGTCCCTTTAATATAACACATTTAATACCAGAACCGGAATTTACGGTAGTTTATTTCTTTTAAACAAACCGAACACGAAATTATACCTACTTTATTTTTATTTTAAAACTAATTATTTGTCTCTAATTTATTTAGCATCACGCCACTAACTGTCCAGATCGTAAACTGATAACCCAATATAAATATGATGCTCCTGAACCGAAAGAAGAGGAGGGACCCAAGCATTCACCCATCGAGTGCGATGAGGATTGGGATGACACGGATGTTAATGATTATAATCCTAAATTATATTTGGAAACGGCAAAAATAATTAGGAAACCAGATGGTGCCAATCCATCGGAACGTAAATTGTTTATTAAAAAGGAACGTAAACGTTTGGGTGATGGGGATGAGAGCTCCGATGAAGATACCAAAAACGATGATAGTAAGGAAGGCGCTAAAGGTCTTAGCCCAAAAACATGTAATTGGAAAACTGAGAGAGGAAATGCAGGACGTAAACGTTCGTCTTCACCTTCAGCATCATCATCGTCATATGCTAAAGGGCGATCACGTTCACCAAAAAATAAATTCTCTAGAGAGCGTTCACGTTCTCCTTTGGGTTTCAGAAGATCACACAAAGATCAATCACCACCACGTTCACGACGCTCACCTCCAAAATCAGTAGGTGCTGGAAATTCATTTCCAAATAATTCTGGTTGGGGAGCGAACCGCTACAACGTTGGTGGTGGTCCAACCAATAATGCTTTTAATAGTGGCCGTGATCCTTACTATAGTGATCAAAATAACTCTCAGGCTTACTATGATCGTAATACAGTAACAAATCCTACTATGCCGCAAGTACCTCCTCCGCCTATGATTTCTTATCCAGCGCCACGTTCGTATTTAACTACAAAAACTCCACAGACAGGACCTAAGTAAAAAATACGGGTTTTTAAAATTTTTTCAGGATTTATAAGTTTTTTCATTATATTTTTTTATTCTAAAGTTAATAAATTATTAAGAAAATAATAATAATAAAAACCAAATCATAAATTTTTAAATTTCATTTTCTGAAATATTTTATTAAAAAAAAATTAAGAAAAATGTTTTATTAAAGAATTTTTAAAAATTTTTCAATAAAAGCAGAATTTTTGAACATTTTCTGTAAAAACAGAATTTTTGAATATGTTCTATAAAAATTTTTAGAAAACTTTGTAGAGAACTTTTTAAAAAATTTTCTATAAAAATAGTATATTACGAGATATAAAGAAAATTCAAGATTTGATGCATTTTTTAATATTCCCACTTTATTTATACAAATATCTTTGATACAATATCACTTAATTAGTTTGTCAAGTTTTAAAAACATTTGGAATACAAAAAATATGAGATTATAAAAAATAAATTTTAAAGAATTTGTGTAAAAAATATCAATGATTTAAAATATTTTCACAATAATTACAATACAAATTAAAACGTACAAAATTAAAACTTTGTATAATATTTATACTTAAAAACTAATCAATCATCTATACCCAAGTAACGTAAACGTTCCTGTTGTCTAAATTTCTTGCGTTCCGAAGGTGTAGCACCTTGTAAATTACGCAGTACTGTTGCTTTTGCCACATACTCTTGAGGATTGTATGTGGGTGCATCGTCGTTATCCCAATTTTCTTCACTTTCATAAACAGGCATGGGTGGCGGTATTGTAGGTTTAGTTATGGGTTCTTCAACATTACGAAAATTTTCAAAAGTTTTTCGCTCCGCACAGATCATAACATGGAACTAGGAAGAGAGATAATTTTCAATCTCATTTTTTGTTACATGTAAAGAAAACTTACCTCTAATTCGGGCTTATTGAGCACATGTGTAACATTAAAGGGACACGTTACTTTAGGTACATTTACATGATTACGACGGCACTTGGTTAAGTGAACCTGCATGCGATGTTTTAAAATGCTATGATTCTTTTCATAAGGACATTGTAATAATTCTTGGTTCTCCATTAATTTGGCGTGCTATAGAATTGATTTAACAAAAAAATAATATTTTTATTCTTGTGGTTTTATTTTAAAGCGTATGTGATATGCCGCGGTAGCAAGTTGCAATTGACTCGTATTGCACTTTTTACAAAAATAAAATAACTTCGCCATATTTTTAATTCTTTGTTTATTTATTTTGTGTTGTTATTTTCGAATGAATACATAATGTAGAGTTGCCAACTTGCCGCATTTCGAATTTACGCGCTGCTACAACGTCAAACATGCTTTGTTTGAAACGTCGGCAGCGTCAACCATAAAAAATGATTGCTCGACAAACTGTAAAAAACCAGTACATCAAACATGTGTATTTATTTTATTTCTTGTTATACAATTATAACTGAGCTCAAATGGAAATATGTACTTAACAAATTTACTACATATAATGAAATACCACTATTTTAAATTGGAAGTGCTATTGAAGACATTTCTGTCGACAGCGAAAAGAAATCTGCTGCTAGAATATATTCGCGCCATCTTTAAACTGTTATCAGTTTTTTATTTTAAACGAATGATTTCCAAAAAAAATCTGTTGTGTGCAAAAATCTAAAAAACAGAAATAATATTCTTTAAATAAAACAAAATTTTATAATTGAACTTTATAATTATACATTTTATTTTTATGATTATTTCATGATTTTTTAGTCTTCGAACCTAAATAATAATTATTTTGGGTCCCTGCTTTAAACGCCTTTAATGCATTTCTCGTCGGCATTGTGTTTTTGCTGATTGCAAAAAAGCGCACAAAGAAAATAAAGCTTAAAACAAAATTAAAAAAAATACTAAAAAACGCAAAAATAATAACCTACAGCAAAGATCTGCGCTGATTTTGCCTAAAGCCGACTAAGACTAGCCGTCGAATAAAATTGAAAGCGAAAATTTTTCCAATTATATCTTGTATGATTTGCTAAATTTATTAAATTTTACACAAGAAAACATTTAAGTCCATCATTTGAAGACTATTGTCAACTTCTATTTTTAGGTTATTCAATTTATTTTGAATAACATTGATAATTTAATAACATCATACTGAAAACTTTGCCGGATTACAAACGACGAAATTTTTAGTGATAGTCACCGCCGTCGTAAATGTTTGTCGGCGCAGTTCTTTGAACCACAGCTAATTTTTATTCAATAAACACAAGTTTGTGAAGAGGATTATTTATATGAAGTAAAAAATTCAAACAAAATTGATGCTAAAAACAAATAAACAAGATAATATTAAAAAATAAATATTTAAAACAAAAGTAAAAAAGAAAACAAGTTAAAATACTTCAAAGAAATTATAAGTCACAGTGAAAGAAGAAAACATAAAATTTCAAACAAATAAAAAAAAGAAAACTGTGTTAATGTGAGAAGAAAAAATAATTTAACATTGTATTGTTGGTGTTTTATTTTTCGTTTCAATAGAGTTGTGCGGTGATACAGAAACTAAAATAGCCACAGCCTGGGAATTTCAAAATTTTACACTGGCTTGCATTCCTTTTTGCAACAAAACTATTGACAAATATTTTCACAAATTAATGCAATAAACAACTAGAATAGAAATCGAACCTCCGACAAAGAAAATGCCTTATTACGGTCTCTATATACCCGTTAAGGGTGGTGCAACAGCAGCATCATCATCGTCGTCGACCAACGGAGCCAACTCAACAAATTCCACAACGTCTTTGGCCGTTGACTGCGGCAATGACGTAAATAAAGACAATAATGAGACCGGTAAGTTTTTCCTTAAAGGAGTTTTCTCATACAAGAATGTTATGATGATGATGATGATGGTTTCCATATTTGTAGTCTTGTTTTTTTTTTGTTGGTTTGTTTTAAAGGTTAGAATTCTTGTTTTTCTTGTTGCCAATATGTATTTTATTTTTGTTGTTGTATTTTATCTTATTTTGTCTTTTATTGTTGTATTCGTTTATATCGTACGACTTCATGATGATGATGATTATGTTGTTGTTGTTGTTTTTGTGAAGTGTGAGATGTGTGTTTGTGTGTGAAAAACACACTGCTACTCAAAAGTGCATTATACCTATATACGTGCTGTTTTTTTGTTTTTGTTGCTGCTCCCTTTATAAACCGGGTGCTGCTAGAAAGTTGTTGTAAATATTAGAATTGTCTCCGTCCTGAATTAGTCAAACGCTCATGGTATTATTTGAGAGCATGTAATAATGTTGTTGACACAATTGAAGGTGGATTTCGGGAAACTAGTGTCACATATGAACTGAATGAAGGATGTCTAAGGATGTCTTTTTTTTATTAAGATAAAGGGGGCTATTTCAGAAGGCTATTTCACACATTTACTGTTTGAAGTTGATAAGATTGCAACCAGTTTTGAGAAGTTGAATAATTTTATTTTGTATTAGTTCTACCACTTGACTTACATACTCACTCTTGTTTTATACGGCAAGTTTTCTTCTGTGTCTGCTCTGGACGCTCAACCTATGACAGCGGAATGTCGTTCAAAGCTGCCGTATAAATGGTCGGATCTAATGGATCCTGAACAAAACCGCGTATGTTTCTCTTATATATACGAAGGTCCATGTAATATCGGTGTTACTGATTTGTCAATCTTTGGCCTTTGTTCCTTTGACTCCGAGTCGTTCCGGTGCGAAGAAGCTATTGTCGTGGTAACAGTTCTGCTTTGTCGTTGAAGTCTATTTCGAAATTATCAGCTTCGAAACTCATTATATGGGATATTTATATAGTCTATATTATTACTTTGAATCGGTTTCGAGTTTATTGGAAATTTTCATTTTCAATACGATTTCAAAGAATTCTTTAGGATTACTTTTTTTATACCCACCATCAAAAAAGATGGGGGGTATATTGATTTTGTCATTCCTTTTGTAACACATAGAAATATTGGTCATGGACCCACAAAAGTATATATATTCTGGGTCCTCATTAAATTCTAAGACGATCTAGCCATGTCTGTCTGTCTGTCCGTCCGTCCGTCTGTCTGTCTGTCTGTCTGTTGAAAGCACGATAGAGTCCGAGTGGAAAGAGCTAGAGGGTTGAAATTTCACATAAATATTTCTTATAGGTAAGGTTTGTTTGGTATTGAAAATGGGCAATATCGGTCCACGTTTTCGGATAGCCCCCATACAAGTGGCCCCTCGAAAAGCAGCTTTAACAGCCATAACTTGTTTAAAAATACGAATATAGCGATGAAATTCGACATAAGTAAGTTTCTTGTGATCCAAAATCAATATGTGAAATTTTATGAGGATCGGTCCATAATTGACCCTACCCCCCATATAAGGTCCCCTTCAGAAAATGACTTTAACGCTCATTACTGGCTTAAAAATACTAGTATATAGATGAAATTCGACATAAGTAAGTTTCATACGAGTCAAAATCTATCTAAAAAATTTTATGAGGATCGGTCCATGATTGACCCTACCCCCCATATAAGGTCCCCTTCAGAAAATGACTGCAACGCTCATTAATGGTTTAAAAATACGAGTGTAGCGATGAAATTCGACACAAATAAATTTAATACGAACCAAATTCTATCTACCAAATTTTATGAGGATCGACCCATAATTGACCCTACCCCCCTATATATGGTCTCCTTCAGAAAATTACTTTAACGCTTATAACTGGCCTAAATATACGAGTATATAGATGAAATTCGACATAAGTAAGTTTCATTCGAGTCAAACGAGGTTTGATGGTGGGTATATAAGATTCGGCATAGCCGAATATAACACTCTTACTTGTTGGAACTGGTTCTAGATCTTTTTTGTTTGAAATTGTGAAAATTGACACCAAATTTGAGTTTTAGTTGAGAATTTTTATAAATGGTTTCTAAAAACTCTTTAGAAGTATATTAGAATCTCAACTCTATACCAGAGAATAAATTAAAGTACAAGAATCCAACATTCTAACTAAAACTATCAAAACTGAACTATTGATTTATATATTTAAGGATTTGACTACTTAATTAGCATTAATCATATCTTTACTTTTTAAAATCCTATAAATCAATATCTATTTTTATATATTCCTATCTCGAAATAAATCATTCATTTTCATTTAATTAGAAACAGTTTTAACTAGAAATTTCAACACACCTTAATTTCTATAGACGCTAACGTGATAAATTCAAAATGCACTAATTATACCCTTCTATTCCCTCATTAAAAAATGCCTAGGTGGGCCAATTGCTATATATGTATATATGTATTAAACAACAATAAAAACATTAATCTAAATACATATATGCAAACTAACATGTCAATTGCAAAAGGTGGTTTTTTAAAAAATAAAAAAATACTATAAAATTTAAGGTCATTTAGTATATATTGAACATGAGGTGGTTTGAAAAAAGAAACAAACATATTTATACTTTGTACTTAATCATTATAAAAAAAGTTATTAAAAAACACAGATAAATTAATTGCTTAAACGATGAAACAAAACAAACAGGGAAATAAATTCATATAATTAATTTTAAGACCAAAAATATGTTTGCCAAAATTCTGAAAGCAACCAACCACTGGGTACAAAACTAAAATGTTTTGGGGATTTTTTTTTGCGAAACACATTTTTAAAAATATGAATTTGAAAAAAAGATGGTGATAATGAATATGATGACGTTTTAAAAACTGTTGGTCGGTTTTGGTTTGTTATTGTGTCACGGGCAATTTATTTTTAAATCATTAAATAAATAAATAAAATTGTTATATTTTGTATACTATAAGGGAACTTATTAAATGGCTAGTAGAGGTTTATATACCTCCTTATCAATATTACATTTACAAATTATCCAAAACTTCAAAGGAATTTTGAAAATGTACTGCAAAGTTGTAATAGAACAAAAAACCTATATTATAGCATTATTGAGTGTATTGATCTAGTCTTTTATTTGAACAATTTTGTTTTATTGCTAACAAGTAGATTTTATAAAAATTTAGTACCCTTAATATTTTCTTAAAGAAAAATATATGTAATTTCTTAAACAAAAACTATCTACCTAGCCTAGATGAAAGAGAAACTGAAAGAGTTTTTTTTTGTTTTTAAATATTTTTTATACGTTATTGTTTCTTTTCTTTTGTGGATTTCAGTTTCAGATTTTGTTGTTATTTTTGTTTGTATTTTTTGGGCTTATAGCTTGTGTATGTGCGCGCCTACTCTTCTTCTCTTCTTTGCTTTGTATATTTTGTTTGCAAAATAAATATTCAACAAAATTATTGTTTTATTTTTTTTTTTAATTTTTTATTTTATTGTATACAGATAAGTGCAATAAACTTTGCAAAACTTAAAAAGTAAATATACGTGTTACAATAAAGGAACTTATGTATATGTAGTTATTGTCATGTGGGTGGTTTGTACAAATTTCTTACCCATTTGTGGTTGACAAAATTTTGGTTAGCGTATTGTAATAAAAAACATATTTATTGCGATTTTTTATTGTAATTAATTTTGATAAATATAAGGGGAGCTGTTGAACTAAAGAGATGATTTGGAGATACTGTAGTAGGATATTATTTATATTAAGAAAATATGAAATTTAGAGTTGTCAGGAAACCAAGGGGAACAATCGGTAGAAGGTTGTCGTCAAGATGGAAGAGTTGTCGAAGCACTCTCCCCGTAATACTGATGCCAAATAAAGGAAGAGAAGGCCACAAACATTGTGATATCTGTGCAAAAACAAGACTCAGATATTCCTCCGTTTACTGAGGCCAAAGGGAACTTATTGGGATTACTCGACAGAAGGCAATCTGATCTAAGGAGATGAATGTTAGATACTGTAGGATGATATCATCTCTGCCTTCTTAAGGAAATATTACACAGAAAGTTTTCAGATTTGCGTCTGCCAGAAAACCAGAGGAAACCATTCGATAAAATGCTGTCATCAAGGTGAAAGCACTATCCCTGTTATCTGAGATAAGGAGATGAATCTTAGCACGAGGAAACGAAGGTCCTCCCAGTCAAGGAACACAATGTCATGTTGACTAAACAGTTCCTCCTGGGATGTCATCGGAAGAGTCATCCCAACTTTAACATCACACAGTTGGATACTCCCCCGAGGTATGCCAGGAAGGATCTTCGTATATACGAGCAAAACATATGTAGATATCCACAAGATCAGTCCTCGTAAACGGCAGCTTTGAACGGCATTCATAGAGACGCCGCTGAAGAGTAGAATGGGCACTAAGCAACACGACCCTATTTTGATTCATTTGTGCAGACAGGTTCACTTCACGCATGAAAATAACGGGTTTGATTGGTGAGAGTTTGAATATATCTTTCGGGACTAGTCAAACAGCATCCAATATTCTAGCTCGAAAGGAGATGAATGTTAGATACTGTAGGAGGTTATAATCTTAGTTCTCTTAAGGAAATATTACACAGAACGTTTTGAGATTTATGGCTGTCAGGAGAACAAGGGTAACCACTCGATAAAAGGCTGTCCTCGAAGTGGAAGAGTTGTCAAAACATTCTCCCTGTAAAATTTAGACAGTTGTCTAATTAGAAGAAGGCCTCGTTCAAAGGAAAAAGTTTGAGCAAATCCTTCTGTTACAGAGAACAAAGAGAACTTATTTGGACTGCTTAACAGAAGACTAACTGATATGAAGATGAATAGTAGATACGTTAGGATACGTTTCGCTTGAGGAAATATTACATGAAAATTTACAAGATTTACGGTTGATAGAAAACCACTTGATAGAATGCTGAAATTGTTTTCAATACACTCTCCAAGTAAAATTAAGACAATTGAAGAATTAAGAGATGGCCACTCAGAGTGCGTCATCTGCTCGAACACAGAATACTGATCAATTCATCCTATTGCAGAAGCTAAGGGGGAACTGAGACAGTTGCCACAAAAAGAACGAAAAGGTGGATGACCCCGTCCTCTTAAGGAAATATGTTACGGAAAGGTTGAAGATTCACGTCAGTCAGAAAACTGCATGTGTGAGATTTATATTACTTATAAAATGTTCGAATAGTCCATTCTTAGCGCCTTTTATTCTTAAAATTTTTGAATTAAGGGAACATATTTAGATTAAGCTTTGCTCTAGAATTGCAGATTAAGTTAAAAGAATGTTTAAATCTTCGGTACTTAATCCGGCAATGAGTGAACTTATCTAACACAACTAATGATGCTTGAAACAATGTTCTAATTGCACACAATTCTAAGCTTTGAATAAGCAACGGTGTTTGCTCTGCACTTCTATGAATTGATAAAACAAGGTGTAGAACATTATATGACAACATATTTATAAAATTTTAATGAAAGCAATATAACAAAACTGACCTTTAAAATATAATTAACGTTATCATACTATTGATATATGTTTACCAAAGAAAATAAACATAAATGAATTGAAACAAAAGTAATTAATAATACTAAATTATTCATTACAAATATTTTAAAGAAAATTAAATTAAATTTTATACTTTTCCTAGAATAAGAGCAATAACAGTTCATTCATTTTGAAAATTTATTTAAAAACCCGCATTTAAATGAAAAACGAAGAGAAGAAAAAAAAACGTTAATGGTATATCTTAATGAAATTTGTAAACACCCTCTGCCTTAAACACGCCATTGATCCCCTGCTCTTCTAGACTCACTAATGTATAGAAAATAAAATTTAACAAAAAAGCGAAACGAATTTTTGTCAATTTTTTGTTTTGCTACGTATATTTTATATATTTCATGTGTTTTTTTTTTGTTTATAATTAAAAATAGTATTGGCATATTCTTTTTTCTGTGTATTTCCCTTTTGTTTATTTTCTTTTATATTTTTGCGGTCCCTCGTCTAGTAGATAAAATATAAAACAAAAATCATACCACAAGTGTGCTAAAAGAACACTGAACTTTATGTCTCAACAAAACTAATTAACACAATTTTGTAATCATAAATAATTTGTATGTAAAAGAACACAAAAAAAATTAACAACTAATTATAATTTAATTTTTTTTTAACTTGAATAACTAATGTTATTAAATTAATTATACGATTACAACATAATAAATTTCTTTATTTTTTGTATGGCTGCCAAATTATTTAATATTTTTTCATTATTATTTTCATTATATACTACATACTTGTTTGAAAATGTTTACGATCAATATGGTTGATGACAGCCTAGACAAATGGTCTGTCTGTCTTTCTATTTTACTTTATATTTTCGAAATGTTTGTTTTACGTACTTGGCTTTAGGTGAACATTTATAGATTGACCTACATTTTAGTCATTTAAGTATATAATTTTTTTTATATTATTTGCTACATAATTAATTCTATTTGTGTTTGTTTTTATTAAATATATGTTTTAATTATTATATTAAAAAATATATTTATTTTTTCTTTCTTTTCAGATGTTTCTGCTTTTGTCTTCCAAAATAAAAAGGAAGCTTTGCAAGTTTTAAAACAACACAAAGATGCTCGTTTCAAAGAATTCCTTAATGAAGATGATGCCATTAAATATGCCCAAACTGGTTATGAAATTGTGCAAAATAAATACAACGATGTTAAAAGTAAGTAAAGTTGTTTGCCTTGATATTGAAATATTTTTTTATTTTTTGTTGCATTTAATCAATAAACACAGATTCATTGTGTTATGACAAATTTAATCATTTTTGAAATAAATAAATATAATATAATATTCCTTTTAATAATATTTAAAGTAGAATGTCAACGGTATTTGTTATAAAAGCTTTTATATGGAATAATATTATATAAACAATTTACTATTTTTTTTTTAGAAAAAACTTTTAAAACATTTTAAATAATTTCTTTAACAAAACCCTTTTTTAAAAAGATTTTGTAAAACAACTTTTTTTCAGAATACCTAAAAAGCTTTCTATAAAACTTTCTTAAAAGAAAAACATAAAAAATATTTAAAAAAATTTGTAATTTTTTTCCGAAAACTTTTTAAAAATTTAAAAAAGACAATTTTTACTAAAACCCATTTTTACAAATTAAAAAAAAGGTTTTTAAGGTTTAAAACTAATTGGAGGAAAATTTATAATAACCGTCCTGCAAAAAAAATTTTTTAGTAAAAAACTTTATAAGAAAGCTTTTTGAATTTAATCTTTTTAGAAAATTTTTTAGTATTTAGCTTTTTAGAAAACTTTTTAATAAAGTTTTTATAACTTTTTGAAAAAAGCTTTTCGAATACATGAAAAAAGCTTTTTAGAAAAATTTTGCAAAAAAGCTTTTTAGAAAAAATTTGCAAAAAAGCTTTTTAGATTTTTTTTGAAAAAAAGCTCTTTAGAAAACAGTTCCAAGAAAGCTTTTTAGAAGACCATAGGAAAACAAGTTTTTTAAAAAATTTTGTTCAGAAATATAAGCTTTATAAGAAAACTTTTCGAATTTAAGCTTTCTAGAAAAATCTTTAGAATTCAGCTTTTTAGAAAACTTTTTTCCTAATAAAGTTTTTAGAATTTTTTTAGAAAACATTTGCAAAAAAGCTTTTTAGAAAATTATAGGAACAAAGTTTTTGTTCAGGAATAATTCTTTTGTTAGACAACGTTTTGAGTAAAAACATTTTACAAACTTTTTAATAAAAAATACTTTTATACAACTTTTTTCGAAAGGTTTAAGAAAAAGCTTTTTAGAAGACTTTTTTAAAATAAGCTGTTTGTTAGACAAGGGTTCAGAAAAACTTTTTGCACAAATTTGCACAACTTTAACTTCTTTAAGCAAAATTACAAAATATTAAGCAAAAAAAAATTTTTTTAGAAAAAAGTTTTTAATTAGACATTTTTATAAAAAGCTTTCTATAAACATTTGTAATGAAAAAGCCTTTTATACAACTTTCTCTTTTCCGAAAACTTAATAATTTTTCAGAAATATGCTTTTTGTTAGACAACGTATTCAGAACTTGTTTCGAACCTGTTTTAAGAAAAAGCATTGTACAAAACTTTTTAATGAAAAAGCCTTTTTACAACTTTTTCTTTTACGAAAACTTTAAGAAAAAACTTTCAGAAAAAGCTATTTGTAAAACTTTTTTATAACAAAAAAGCTTTTTATATTTTTTGAGAAAAAGCATTGTACAAAACTATTCAAAAAATCTTTTTTAAAAACTTTATACACAAAATTTTTAAAAAAGCTTTTTAAAAAATTGTTTATTGAAAAAGGCCTTTATACAACTTTTATAAGAAAAATACTTTTTAGAAAACTGTTTAGATACTTTTAGAAAAAAAGCTTTTAACAAAATTTTTAAAAGAAAAGCTTTTTTATTAAATATTTTTTTAACGAAACAAGTTTTTTACGAAAGAACTTGAATAAGCTAATGGGTTTCTTCACAAATGAAACGTTTCCAAATTGTTTATATAAATTTCTCTCTTCATCTCTTTCAGCATCAACAGAATCCTTGGAAAAGGCCGCATTTAGAGCACCCACAAAACAACAACTCATCAAATTTCGTCAAATTATTGAAGTCGACGACTGGGAACTTGTCAAAAAAATGATATGGGATAATCCACGCTATCTAGTTAGTTCGGGTGATACACCCACAATTCTCAAAGAGAGTTTTCGTTACAATGCCATGCACGTTTGTGCAATATCTAAATGTCCCAATGTAGCTAAGCTAATACTCGATACAGTATCTGATCCAAAATTTGCCGACCTTTTAATGGGCAAGAAAAACGATGAGAAAGCATGCAAAGAATTGTGTGCTAATCTCTTAGATTATTATCTAAATATACCAGAAAAGGGTAGAAGTGAGACACCGTTGCATTTAGCCTCTAAATTTGGTTGTCCCGAAATGGTGGAAGTGCTAACTTCATATCCAGAATGTAAAAATTTACCCAATGATCAAGGTTTAATGCCGAAAAATGTGAGTTGGGAATTGTTGATTATTTTTCTTAAGATTTTAATTATTATTTATGAAATTTTTAGATTATTTGCGATCGTGGCAATGAAAATTTTCGTGGAAAAATTGAAAAACTTTTTGAGGAACGTTATTATGTGCCGGTATTACGTTGTAATGATAGTGCTATACCAGCACAAATTGGTGAACCATTTGCGGCTAATAACCCACCAGTAAGTTTAAGTTTAAATAAAATAAATTGGAATTACCATGATTTTTTTTTTATTTTAGAATCTCAACTGTGATAATTTAACACCAGAGGTGGAAATTAAAGCTTTAGCGGGACCCATGAGTAAGGAACAAGCTAAGGTATTTGGTTTTTGGAAAAAGCTTTATTCTTCGTTTTATTTATTCTAAACTAAATTTTCAGCAATTTTTCCGTCGTTGGAAGACACCACCTAGACTGGGTAGCAATATGTCCTCTCCCATAGCTAACAATCCGTATATATCACCCATGAAACCACGCAACAGTACACCCATTAAAACACCAAGAGGTGGAAACACCAGTTTCAATTCACCCACTGCCACTTTACAAAGACGTTCTTTATTCAATTCCACGCCACAGCGTAAAGAATATAATGGTGTCATTGAATCAAATGGTTTTGATAAATCTTTACTAGACGATTCATTCGATGACAAACAGAATGGCAATCATGAGAAGGAAAACAACGAAATGGATGCTTTAGAGAGAACAGAAGAAACTAATAACAACAATCATTTGGGCAAGATGCCAAAACCTCAAATGAATATGTTAAAATCGGCCTTATGCCCCCGCACTCCCTTGTTCAAGCTTAAGAATAATGCATTTTCGAATTATCGTGAACAGAATGTGGGCTCTCCCTTGGTGCACACCATTGAGCTTGTACATGAAATGAATGATTCCTTATTAAATGTATCGGATGTTTACGATAGCCCTGGTTTTAAGGAACGTCATGTAAAGAACAGCGATCCTGAAAAGGGTATTGAATGTATTGGTCGTGTTTTGGCCAAAGAACAAAATATAGAATGGCGTGAGTATTGGGATTTTCTAGAAGAGTTCATAGACATAGCCTCCGATAAGGGTGTGCAGAAATTGGAAAATTATTTGGCCCAACGTCAAAGGGAACAGGACCAACGTAATAATCGTACACAATCCACACAAAAGTCTGATATACTCGATGATGTCCGCAATGCCTTGGAGAATTGTTTCATAAGTAGCAATTCAACAGCAGCTAACAATACAAACAAAACGAATACATCAACAACACATCAATCTACTACACCCTATACTTATGTGGAGAAATCGCTACAGGTGCATGCTAGACGCATGACTAAAACCATTATACATAACATCAATAATGAGGTGTCTATTATTGATGCTTTACTTTTGGAATTGAGAAGAGTTAAATCGTTAATTTACTCCTTTAAAGAGGATGCTAGCTATATAAATGTTAATTTTGAAAAGGTTCATTCACGCATAGGTAATTTGGTGTCCATGTTTTTGGAAAATTCACAAGAGGTGACACGGCAAATGAAAGAGAAAATCTTGATTATATTACAAAATCTCTCCACGGCTCAAGGTGAGCGGCGTGAGCATATGGAATGTGTTTGTTCGCGTATTTTTTATATGCTGCAAAATCCAAGTAAGTTTTCTTTTGAATGTTTCTTTTTATTTTGATTACATTATATTAATTGCGTTTTCTTTTAAAGCTGAACAAGTGCTACCAGAAAACGTTAAAACCGAAGATATGTGCTCGAAAATTTGGTCTCAAGAAAAAGACTGTGACTGCCAGTGGGAGAGTAATTTAAGTCGTAAAACTAGCCGTCGCAATCGCATGGAGGCGCGCTATAAAAATCATCAACGTCTTAAGCAACAGGAAAAAGTACAAAAAGATGTGGATAATCAAATGGCCGATCTAAAAGGTGATTGGCGTAACACTACGGCAGCCTCAAATGATTCCTCGGATGAGGAGGAATTTTGGGTGAGTTTTGTTTTTTCTTCTTCCTAAATGTTTTTTTTTTCTAATTTTTATTTTTTGTTAATTCCTTTTAAAGTCTGATTTTGGTGGTTCTGATACTGAAGAAGATGAAGTATATGTAACGCCTTGTGAAAGTCCTTCACGTTTAAGTTTATCCGATGATACAGATGATGAATGTAATAAAATATTTATTTATGGGTAAGTTGAAGTATTTTATCTAATACTTTCAGAACTTATGTTCGGAAAACTTTAAATAAATCATGAGGATTCATAAAAGTAGAATTTTAGTTTAGATAATGAACATTTCATTCTGTTTATGAACTGTCATTGTATTTATGAATTGTCATTGTAATTATGAATTGTCATTCTATTTATGAATTTTTCTTTTTCTGAATGAAAATGGTTTCGGAATAAAGTCATGTTTTCATATTATTTATTACATTCTAGTTATGAAAATTTTTTCTGTATAAATTATAAAAAATAAATTTAGTTTTATTTGAAGCCGATTTTATACATTTTCCAAATTTCGAAATTACAAATTTTGAAAATAATTTTAAAATTTTCATGAATTTTGATTGTTGTTTTAAAATATTAGCATTTAAAACATGTTCGAAAATTCGAACTTATGTTCGAAAAATTTCTAAATTTAGTTTTATTTCAATCCAAATTCTTACTTTTTCCAATTTCGAATTTCAAAATTTTGAAAATAAATTTATTATTTTTTTTTTGATTATTTTATATAATTTTAGTTTTAAATAAATTTTTCAAGTAGATTTAGAATATTAGCTTATTTTAAGGTTGTCCGAAAATTCGAACTTAAGTTCGAAACATTTTTAAAACTCTTAAAATAATCTCCTAAATCTTGATGATTCATAAAAATATAATTTTAATGTTATTTGTGGTCGAATTCTTACATTTTCGAAAATTCGAACTTAAACATTTTGAAAAAAAAAACTTGAAAAATGTAATGAATTTTGTTTATTTTCAATGCAGATTCAAAATATAAGCTTTTTAAAGAATGTTCGAAAATTCGAACATATGTTCGAAAAAATTTTAAAACTGTAAAAATGCTCTATAAGCCATGAGAGTTCTTAAACATTTATTTTTAGTTTGATTTGAGAACAATTTCTTAATTTTTTTCAATTTCGAATTTCAAAATTTTTAAAATAATTTGCAAATTTTCATTAATTTTAAGTAATTTTCAATGTTGTTTTCGAATATAAGATTTTTAAAATATATTTTTAAAAATTTAAACTCAATATAAGCTTTTAAGCCATGTTCGAAAATTCGAACTTATGTTCGAAAAAATTTTAAATCTGTTCAAATAATCTCCTGATACCGAGGATTCAAAAAAATATAATAATATATAATTTTATTTGGGAACAATTTCATATATTTTTACAATTTCGAAGTTAACAATTTCTTAAAATTTTCATAAAAATCTAGTAATTTTGATGAATTTAAATTTTTTTTAACTTTTTTCTTTAAATTTCATAGCAATGAACCCACAAAACGAGATTTGGATGTATTAAATGCTATTTTCCATATAACTATTGATAAGACTAAATATCCCAATATTCATTCCTGGAAATCCACCATAATGCGTTATCCCAATGAGGAGAAGGATTTGTAAGTTTAAAATCAAACATATTAATAAAAAACAATTATAATTAATAAATAATTTCATTATCTTTAACACAGTTTTCCCTCACCAAGAATTGTTAAAAAATCTCATTCATTTGTGGCCACCAGTGGAAACAAAAAAGACTACTATGTACAACCACAAACACCAACATCAATGCAAAGATCCTATTCCATTGTACGTTCGAATACAAGTTCTTTAATACTACACTCACCCAGACAGCAATCGCCTTTGGCTACATCAGCAGCTTCATTATCAACATCAACTGGTGGTGGTGGTGGTGGAGGAATACTTAAAGAACCCATTTTACAACTGCCCACAGCAAAACGTTTATTTATGTCACCAGGGCGACCAAAAACAATGACTGCCATCTCATTAGCTAATAATACCAATATGAATATTACTACAGCTTCAGCTACAACTACAACAGCTACTAATGCTACAAATCCTATAAATGTGGTCAGCATGAAATTACCCATACAACAGCATATGCAAAAACCAGTTACGCCTCTCAATAAGTTACGTGGCCTTTTTAGTGCCTACCGTGAATGCCTAGATAGTAGTCCGCTTTCAACTTCATCGACATCACCCTAAAAATTTTTGGATACGATCCCTAACAATCTCAGTCTCAGAATGAAATTCTCTGCAACCAAGCAATTTTTCCACTGAGATTTAAACACTTACATATTTATGTTAATTTTTAAATACCCCATTTTTAATTAAGTTTTTTGTTTTAGTTTTTGTTTCAACTTTTACATTTTTATATTCAGTTTTTTTTTATTGGCAATTATTTTTAATTTGTTCTTTTCAATACTTTTTAAACAAACATCATTTACTTTAAGTGATTGTTTTCCAACTCCATGTGCTTAAATAAAATGAATTTAATAATTCTTCCCTTTTACTATTTCTTTTACACCAAAATTAATTAATATTTTAAGTAAAAAACATTTTAAACACTATATACTCATCAAATTTTTTCTGTATTTTTTCCAACTTCTTATACGTATAACTTATACATACATATATCAAACATATTTTATACTGATATTTAATTTTTTTTACATTGTTGCATATAAAACACAAAACATATATATTACATACATAGTATTATATTTAATGATTTTGAAAGAAAATTCAATATAATTACACCAACACACACACATTAATTTCTTGTTGATTTGTTCATTTCTTTTTTATTTAATAGAGAGTAATGGTAACGAAAAATAGTGGAACATTTTTATTTGGCTAAGTAGGAGCTTTGCAAATTTCAACAAATGTAAAAAATCTAGTGTCCGTTTTGATAACTTTCTGGAAGTATGCTGTTCATAACTATGTGCCGCATGATTGACGAAACCAAACACCCAGCATTTAGTGATTATATTATAACGACTTTTCTAGGCTGATTCCGAAATCCAAATTTGATTTTGTAAAAAGTTTGGTCCTGTTGGTTAAGTGACCTGCTCACAATATTATAGCTAGAGTACACATAGTACCTTTATGTTATAAAGTACTGAACTAATTTTCCGCTAGACTTAAGACTAGACTAAAGACTAGACTATAGACTAGACTATAGACTAGACTATAGACTAGACTATAGACTAGACTATAGACTAGACTATAGACTAGACTATAGACTAGACTATAGACTATACTATAGACTAGATATAGACTAGACTAGACTAGACATAGATGACTATAGACTAGACTAGACTAGACTATAGACTAGACTATAGCTAGATATAACTAGACTATAGACAGACTTAGACTAGACTATAGACATAGATAGACTATAGACTAGACTATAGATTATAAACTAGACTATAGACTATACATAGACTAGACTATAGACTAGACTATAGACTATAGACTATACTAATAGACTATAGACTAGACTATAGAGACATGACAGACTACTAGACTAACTAGACTATAGACTAGACTATAGACTAGACTATAGACTGACCTAGATAGACTAGACTAGACTTAGACTAGGACTATAACTTAGACTAGACTATAGACTATACTTATAGACTATAATAGACTATAGATAGACTAGACTAACTATAGACTAGACTATAGACTAGCTATAACTAGACTATAGACGTAGCAACTATAGACCTAGACTAGACTAGACTACTAGACTATAGACTAGACCTATAGACGACTATAACTAGACTAGACTATAGACTAGACATACTATAGACTAGACCTATAGCTAGACTATATACCTAGACTATAGACTAGACTATAGACCGAGACCTATAGGACTAGACTATATACTAGACATAGACGAGACTATAGACTAGACTATAGACTAGACTATAGACCTAGACTATAGACTAGACTATAGACTAGACTATAGACTAGACTATAGACTAGACTATAGACTAGACTATAGACTAGACTATAGACTAGACTATAGACTTAGACTATAGACTAGATATAGACAGACTATAGACTAGACTATAGAGACTATAACTAGACTATAGACTAGACTGATAGACCTAGACAGACTATAGACTAGACTATAGACTAGACTATAGACTATCTATAGACTAGACTATAGACTAGACTATAGACTAGACTATAGACTAGACTATAGACTAGACTATAGACTAGACTATAGACTAGACGATAGACTAAGACTATAGCTAGACTATAAGGACTAGCTATAGACTAGACTATAGACTGACTATAGACTAGACTATAACTAGACTATAACTAGACTATAGACTATACTAAGACTAGACTATAGACTAGACTATAGACTAGACTATAGACTATACTATAGACTAGACTATAGACTAGGGGGGACTTAGACTAGACTATAGACTAGACTATAGACCTAGGACTATAGACTAGACTATAGACTAGACTATAGACTAGACTATAGACTAGGACTATAGACTAGACTATAGACTAGACTATAGACTAGACTATAGACTAGACTATAGACTAGACTATAGACTAGACTATAGACTAGACTATAGACTAGACTAGACTAGACTATAGACGAGACTATAGACTAGACTATAGACTAGACTAAGACTAGACTATAGGACTAGACTATAGACTAGACTATAGACTAGACTATAGACTAGACTATAGACTAGACTATAGACTAGACTATAGACTAGACTATAGACTAGACTATAGACTAGACTATAGACTAGACTATAGACTAGACTAGAGACTAGACTATAGACTAGACTATAGACTAGACTATAGACCTAACTATAGACTAGACTATAGACTAGACTATAGACTAGACTATAGACTAGACTATAGACTAGACTATAGACTAGACTATAGACTAGACTATAGACTAGCTATAGACTAGACTATAGACTAGACTAGAGACTATAGACTAGACTATAGACTAGACTATAGACTAGACTATAGACTAGACTATAGACTAGACTATGACGAGACTATAGACTAGACTATGACTAGACTATAGACTAGACTATAGACTAGACTATAGACTAGACTATAGACTAGACTATAGACTAGACTATAGACTAGACTATAGACTAGACTAGACTAGACTATAGACTAGACTATAGACTAGACTATAGACTAGACTATAGACTAGACTATAGACTAGACTATAGACTAGACTATAGACTAGACTATAGACTAGACTATAGACTAGACTATAGACTAGACTATAGACTAGACTATAGACTAGACTATAGACTAGACTATAGACTAGACTATAGACTAGACTATAGACTAGACTATAGACTAGACTATAGACTAGACTATAGACTAGACTATAGACTAGACTATAGACTAGACTATAGACTAGACTATAGACTAGACTATAGACTAGACTATAGACTAGACTATAGACTAGACTATAGACTAGACTATAGACTAGACTATAGACTAGACTATAGACTAGACTATAGACTAGACTATAGACTAGACTATAGACTAGACTATAGACTAGACTATAGACTAGACTATAGACTAGACTATAGACTAGACTATAGACTAGACTATAGACTAGACTATAGACTAGACTATAGACTAGACTATAGACTAGACTATAGACTAGACTATAGACTAGACTATAGACTAGACTATAGACTAGACTATAGACTAGACTATAGACTAGACTATAGACTAGACTATAGACTAGACTATAGACTAGACTATAGACTAGACTATAGACTAGACTATAGACTAGACTATAGACTAGACTAGACTAGACTATAGACTAGACTATAGACTAGACTATAGACTAGACTATAGACTAGACTATAGACTAGACTATAGACTAGACTATAGACTAGACTATAGACTAGACTATAGACTAGACTATAGACTAGACTCTAGACTAGACTATAGACTAGACTATAGACTAGACTCTAGACTAGACTCTAGACTAGACTATAGACTAGACTATAGACTAGACTATAGACTAGACTATAGACTAGACTCTAGACTAGACTATAGACTAGACTATAGACTAGACTATAGACTAGACTCTAGACTAGACTATAGACTAGACTATAGACTAGACTATAGACTAGACTATAGACTAGACTATAGACTAGACTATAGACTAGACTATAGACTAGACTATAGACTAGACTATAGACTAGACTATAGACTAGACTATAGACTAGACTATAGACTAGACTATAGACTAGACTATAGACTAGACTATAGACTAGACTATAGACTAGACTATGCACTGCAAATGCCTTTTCGATTTTTACTCCTAGGTAGGTAGGTAGGTAGGTTGATAGGAGGATGTATACTACATCAAATCCGAAGAAATACACCTAGGCCACTATCGGGCCTGTTGTGCGCTCCAATTCAAGAAAAAAAAAAAAAAAAAAAAAAAAAAAAAAAAAAAAAAAAAAAAAATGTTCACTGAATGTATTATTTTTCCATGTTCAGAAACTCAGTTTCCTGGACGTAATTCCTAAGAATCTTCCAATCGGTGTTGGTTAAGAATGTTATTTCTGGAATAACATCACTTCCAAGATACTTGGATCTAACTTCGACGAATGCCTGACAATGGCAAAGAAAGTGCTCCAGAGTTTCACTGTCCTCTCCACATGCTCTACATTCGTCTGAATTCGCACGTCCAATTTTGTATAGATGTGCTCGTAATCCTGTGTGTCCACTGAGAATACGTACCATCATACTAACCTCAGACTTGCTCATTTTGAGAAGATTTCTCGTCTTGCTCTCATCAGGGTCACCCCATAGAATTTTTGTGGTTCTACCCACCGTTTCATTATTCCAAGAGGCCTTATGGGATTCTCTCATCCATATTTTTAATTCAGCTTTTGTTGCGTCGAATGGTTTTGCGTTTGTCAGGTTAACTACATCGAGCTCCCTTCCCTTTAAAGCTATTACATTCGCCCTTTCGTTGCCGACTACTCCCGAGTGGCCTGGTACCCATATGATGTGAACCTTACCTCTGGGAGAGTATTCAGTTAAAGCTTTCTTACAATCCAATACGGTCTTAGATTTAATTCTATCACCTGATATCGCACAAATTGCCTTCTGGCTGTCGGTAAATATATTAAGCCCTGTGGGCGCCATATTTATTCTAATCCAATTTACACATTCCGTTATTGCTCGTACTTCTGCCTGGAAGCTTGTGTTATGATTAGGTAAACGGTGGTATATTTCTGTTTCTGGGTCTTCAATATAGAACCCCAGACCCACTTTGTCCCCTAATTTAGAACCATCCGTGTAGCAACGGATTCCTACTGGTATTTGCTCTAATGTTCCGCTTGACCAAGACATTCTATCTGGGATTAGCGTTTCAAAGTTTCCGACATATTCAGTGTCTGGTATGCGATCAGGCACGTCCGATGAATGTGTATAACCTTCCAATGTGTCCAGTATACATTGATGACGTGTCCTATAACCGTTTTTGGCCAGTTCGCCTAAAGTAAAGAGCCGTTCGGCTGTAAGCGCCGCCTCATATCTTATATATGTTTCAATGGGTGGAATATCTAGCAACGTTTCCAGAGCCTTGGTTGAAGTAGTACACATGGCACCACTTATACCCAAGCAGCATGTACGCTGAACTCCCTGTAGTAGTTTGATATTACACTTTTTGTCCAAAGCAGTCCACCAGATTATTGAAGCATAAGCTAGAATTGGTCTAATTACACTTTTATAAAGCCAATTTGTCATAGTAGGACTAAGACCCCATTTCATGCCTATGGTTCTCCTACATATCGCCCAGCACCGATGTGCCTTGTTGATCCTATCCTCTATGTGGTGTCTCCATTTTAATTTCCGGTCAAGTATTACACCTAAGTACTTCACTTTGTCTGTCACCGGTATCTTCTTGCCCAAGAAGCAAGGTTCAGTATATGTAGAAATTTTTGTCT